AAAAACAACGAAAATAACCAACACGCGACCAATACCCGTCCCCCTTAAAGGAATCGACGCCTCCCCCTTGCAGCTCCCGGGCGATGCTCTTTTGTCCCATCGATCCGCCGCGGGGGTGACGCTGCCCGGGAGTTCAAACCCAGCGCCAAAACGGTCCCGCGACGCCATCTTGACGGACGTGTTTTTCCGCTCCGAGTGTAAACAAATCTCGATATTCTCGAGTTCCGTGTGCTTTTTTCCCCCTTTTTTTTTCTTTCCTTCCTTTCTTCTGGTCTTCTTTACTTGGAGGAGAGGAAGAGGGGAAGAGAAGAGAGGTAAGGCGAGTTTTATTTTCGAAAAATGGTTTATTTTGGGGGGAATTTTTTTTTTCTTCGTCTTTGGGTGGGAGGAAGAGGTTGAAATTTTCTCTCGTGTTTATTTTTCTTTCCTTTCTCCCCTTTTTCGTTCTTTCTTTCTCTCTCTCTCTCTGTTCTCCGAGTGTTTAATGCCGAATCCCCAGTGACGAAAAGAAGGAGGAGGAGAGAGAAAAGAAAATCGATGGAAAGAGAGAAACGAGAAAACAAGAAACGTAAACAAAAACTTCGAAAAACTGTAAACAAGAATAAGAAAAAAATAATAATAATATTAACCCTCAATAAACGGCCTCGAAATAAAGAAGTGAAGAACAAGTGCACCCGAGAACCAACGAAAGAGAGTGCGAAGAGAGGGAGAAGTGAATAAACGGGGGAGAAATACGCAACGCCCAAGAGTGGATTTTTCGAAAGGTCTGCAGCGAAGGAGGATTAGGAATTCGCTCTTACGGATTTATTTTTCTCCTCGGTGATTATTCTCCTCCTTTTTAAGTGATTAAATCCCCGGAAAAAAAGGTGGTTTTAGGAGAAAAAAAAAAGTGGTTTTCGAGGAGCTTAAGTGTGATTTTTCGTGGGAGACGCTACGTACGGCGAGTGTTTGGAAGTGCGGGAACGTTATATTATCCCTTAAAAAAGAGGAAAATATGGAGTAGTAAAGGCATGGAGTGTGATAAGGGTTATTTTGGGATGATTTTTAAGGAAGGAAAATGGGGCAGCTGGTGATGTTCTGAGGCTGTGCTGTTTCCTGCGCTGCGGCATTTGGCTCAAGGAGAGGGGCGTTCGAGCTGGTTTTGTGCCGAGTGAAGTGCAGTGTGCTTTAATTAGCTGCGATATCATTAGTTATTTCCTATGATAGGCCTGCATCTTGAAACCTGTTGAATTTGATCCTGAGGGGATGCCTTATGGGGTCTCGTGTGCGTACTTAGCGGCCCTAGGTGACGTTCGGCTGAGATAAATAGGTCTGGATTGGATTGTTTAGGTATTTATGTAAATATTAGGGTGGAATGCTAGCCTGTTAACCCCTGCCTGGAATTCAAAATCTCCACCGCGTCTGATTGGCAAGGCAAGGTCCAGAGAGGCACGAGTGACATGCCGCACTCCGCGAAGGTGAACAACTCTTGCTGCGCGGTGGATCCCGGGTCGCTGTGCATGTTGTAGGGGTTTTTGGGTTTTATGTTATGTATATTTATTTATTTATTTTGATGACTATTCCTACTGTATGAGTCCATGAATTCCAAATTTGATTTGTTTTACGAAGTGGATTGGTTCTATAAAACGTCCATGTTGTTTGCTGTTTGGGGTAAATTTCGAATGTAGTTACCAATCGACTGGCTCTGCTTTTAGTCCCTAGTTTGATAGGAATTTGTGAAGAAGGTCTGTAAGCTGTTCTGGCTTGTAGAGTATACATGGGAGAGATTAGGTATCCTTAGTGGAAGGCTGGTTATTGCAGATGAATTTTTGTTGAGAGAATGTGCATGTGCAATTAGGTTATGTAGATTTGTTTTGTTTTCTGTTACTTATTGTGTTGTGTGTTTGTTATTGGCATTCCTTTCAGTTTCCTGTCTATATATTTGTACCCAAATTCACCCAGAAAATTTCCAAAATAGTTTTCTTTCATAGATTTTACTTATTCATAGCATCTATCCCAAAATGGGATAATCAGACTTCATGTATATTCAAGTTGCTGGGTCCTAGACGAAGATTAAGGATCTTAGTGATATCTAAATACTATTTTGCAACAACAATAGCAACTTTTTTTCTGCGGTGTAGAAAGTGGTTCTTTATTTTTGCGTCAGTATATATAAATTGTTTCTGTTAATATGCACAGGAGGAATGCATTGAATTAGGGAGACAAGGTATTCAGAATTGTGTACAGGAACATAATCCTTGGCTAGGGATAAATGGCTGTCATTAGGGGTCCATGGCTAACACACCTGGGTTAAGGAGGTCTTTGGTTTGTATAATGATCTTTGTGGTAGTTTGCACATTTGGGATGGAGCTCATTTGTTTGAGTGTGGGACTTAGTCTCTGATGGAGAGGTCATGTTTTAAACTTAACCATATATATTTGTATGTGTTTTGATGTTTATACAGACAGTTATGGTAAACACTAAGTATAATTATTTATATTGTACTTTTTATATTGCACAT